TCTTTATATTTTAATTCAACATAATTTAATCATTCTATTCTTATAATTTCATCGGTTAATCTAAATAGTTAACACAGTAAATTAGTCCAATTAAAATATTAGCATGAGTTTTTTTTAATAAAAACACCCATTTCAACACAAAAATATCCATGTCAATGTGATGAGTTAAAATGGTACTTAAGAAAAAATAATCCTAGTCGTAAAAGGGAGTGATGTCTCAGATTTAAACAACTGCGTCTGATGCAGGGTGTATGTTTGTTAACAATAGCTAAGAAAAATTATGAATAGATATTAATTCGTAATCATCTCATACTATTAAAAAACTCAAATCAACATAAGAACCAAATTACTATAGAAGATTAAAAATAAAGAGACTAAATCTCATACTTGAGCATAACAAAGGAAGCATTTAAAACAGCTCCAAGGTAGTGCACCATGCTTTATTGTCTATCAAATACACCTCAAAAAACAAATCCCTGAGGCCACCTCCAGGCTTTCCATCTTCTTTTGTTCCTTTTAATTTACACCTCTTTAACCATAGATTCAGTTAAAATCACAGCTTATTATTAAAGCTGTGTATGTACATGCATATATAAAGTGATGTCCACTAGGTGACAACCGACAAGTATTCAATAAGTTCCCCAATCACAAATTCGCTCCATATCTCCCCCATCTTGAGCTTTTAAAAAGTTCAACTATTAAAACGCCCCGAGCAAAGTGAAAACATATCAAATCCATTGGAACAAATATCTTCCTTGCAATTACCATGAGAAAAGCTTGTACAAGCCACGGGAAAAGGATGAACCGCCTAGTGCTGAGAAAGAAGGTGAAGTTTGCGAAATTTTCGGTCCATAGAAACCTTTGTAAGCTGCGAAAGATCGTTCCGGAGTGTGGCGATGCCGATTTAGAAACGTTGTTTCAGAGGTCTATCGTCCACATTATCGAATTAAAGTCGCTTGTTCATGTTCTCAGAAACCTTGCAAACTACCATGGTGTATGACTCTGCAATAGTTGCCTTCTATTATCTACGTTTTCAGCAAGTGTAAGTTTCGATTTCACGTAACATAGATATGAATATGACCAAGTGGACTATATTCCTGAGAGATAAGTTACGCATAATGCATGTTATAATCAATGTATTTTACTAAAAGAAATGTCAAGGCATAATTTCATGCAGCATATATATATTCTTTAGTTTCTGCATTTGATTTTAATGGAATCAAAATCTCTATTTATTGTTTATCATCTCTTAAAAGTAATTATATCATCGAAGTTGGAATTATATTACTCTTTCAAAATTGAACAAGAAGAGTTTGAATCACATCAATAATTTATGGGCATCGTATAAAAATTCGAACAATATACTTCCCCGTCCTCAAACCCAACAAGAGTACTTCACCGAAGCACATAAATTTTTTCCAACCAAAAAAATCTGTGGGAAAGGGGCCTCATATTGTAACCAAAAACGAACATGGGGTCCAAATGCTTTGGACGGAGGGCGGGCATAGATCTATATATGTAAACAACGAAATGTGCTTTATTTGGGCTAAAAGGTGGACCAGACATGTTAAGTTTATTTCGATCAAATTCGTTGGAGTATTATTTAGACTAACAGGTAGGTTTTTCTAATAAGAGTAAAGTTTTTTTTGCTCAGCAAACAGAAAATTTTATTCCATTTTCAAGGTAACCAAATCCCCAACTTAGAGCCTCATTAAAAAATTCCCTAAACCTAAATGGGGAAAGAGTACTCCAAAGTTGAGGAAACAAGACTTGATACAAAACACAAGTTACACAAAAAGAAAGTGGGGCACACCTTGAACTAAAAGACTCCCCCGCCCTAACAATATGCCAAGTAATCTGCCATATTGTTGGAAGTCCTAGGCGAGGACACAAACTTATTCTTAAATATCTTCAATACATTGGCATCAATTTCCTGAAAAACTGCTCCCCACCTCCATGGACGAACAGAGTAATTCTGAACCCAATTTAAGATTACTTTAGAATCAAATTCTACGATCAGAATAGCCTTACCTAAAATATTATAAAATGATAATAGTTAATTATTACGTAAAATGAGCAAATACATTTGGTTGATTGGTCAAACTATTCTTTTTTGTTCCTTATATTCTTAAGTTATGGGTTGTAGACCTACTAGGGGCACTCCATTTTCCTCCTAGAATCCCTTCTTCTCCTTCTCTAGATAAAATTAAAATTAAATTTAAAATTTATCATAAAAATGTTACATAAAATATTATAAATTGGTAATAGTTTATGATATGATGTAAAGTATTTTTAAAGATTTATTGTACATAAAATATTATAAATTAATAATGTATGCAATTTCGTAATTTGCGCAATTACAAAAAAAATAATAAAGTTATTATAGTTTTACTTAAAGTAGACAAAGTCGTCCAACTATTCCAAAAAAAAAATTAATTAAGGTTCTAACTATTTTTTCATTCAATTATTAATTTATTTTCTTTTAATAGAAGGTTGAATCAAATAAGTTATTTGATTTTGGTCAACATTGAATGTTATCTCTAATGATTTTTATCATTTTTGTCATGTATCGTACCATGGTATTGTCATATGGCGTTTCTAAATTTATTTCGAAAATTATCTGAAAATTAAAAAAAAATCATAACAATATTATGATTTTGAGAAAATTCTTATAACTTATAAAAATAAAAAAAACAATTGACAAAAAACTAAATAATAAAATAAAAAATTGTTAACTTTATTTTGAAAACATGTATTATATAAAAAAATAGAGATAATATACAAATACTAAAACTTATTAAAAGTTAATTAAAAATTATAAAACATACTAAAACCTATAACAACATTTAAATATGAATTTGTTCTAGGATTGAAAATGTATTGAAAGTGATGTGAGCACGGACATGCACTTGGCATCATTTTTGGCAACTGACTATTTGATCGAGGCAAGATGTTTGCATTTGAAAAGCTTTGAGAAGCTTATTCGAGCTTAATTTGGGATGTTCAAACTAAGGTCAGATTTATAAAAGCCTTTTTCAATCCAAAAGAAGAACCACCACTATCATACTTATGCGATCACGACCAATAAAGATCTAGAGGAATTTTTTAGTGGAACAATTACTCGTGCTAGGGCAAGAAAGTTTCAAGAAGCTATGAGAAATGTGTTTTGCAAAGGAGGGAATGTCGTAATCGTTTTTCGCCTGGAGGGGGAAAGACCGATACTGACTCGAGGTTTTCTCTTTGAAAATCATTTTGAAATATGAGAAGTCGCCACCAATCATTTAAGGTGAGATTGGAACACCATAAAAATCGGATGCTTTTAATAAAATATTTTGTTTTTATCAAAATACCGGGTTTGAAGGTCTGCGAAAATCCAAAAATTAAGTTCGGAAGTTAGTTACGCGTGGGGAAGGATTAACACCCATACAAGTGCCCAAAAATTGGTACCTAGTTGATTACCTTATATTTAAAATCAGAAATTTGGAGTTCGATCTTTATTTAATTTAAAAATCATGAAGGATGCAAAGTTGAAAAGAATATTCGTTTATCGAGACAGATAGCATTCGCCCCGAGCGTAAATACGGGAGATCAGCTATTGTGCCTAATAACCGAATATTGCCTCATTTTTAAAAAACATGATGTGTTTTGAAAAAGATGTCGACTTATTCAAGGAATTACTAGTAATCACCCCTGAGCACGATCGCGGGAGATATAATATTAATTCCTTAATAAGTGAACAATGCCTTAGATTTGTAAAAACAATGCAATCAAACAAAATTTTATTTGTGCTAATTAAACTAAAAATAAATTAAGGCTTTTTCTAACTTAAAGTGTCAAATTATAAAAATTAAAGAATAGGAGCTCAAATTTAAAATGTTATTTCTAATATTAATACTAAATGCTATATATTAAAAATGATTAAATATTCACGTATTAAAAAGTTTCTTTCGATAATTTTAAAATGCTCGAATATCCAATTAGGTTGGTCAAGTTATGCATATGAGATTAACATACAAATTAAATAAAATATATCTATACACAAAGAAATATACAAAAGTAATAACTTTGTATATATACTAAGTTATCAACCAATTTTTTTAAAAAATACATATTAATATATACACATATATATTACGTTAACATGGAAAGAAAAGAAATTTCAATTTCATGATCATATATATATATATATATATATATATTAAATCCCTTAATAAAAGGTAAAGTAAATCATGATTAACGCATTTCATTAATAAAGGAATATATATATTATATTAACATGGAAAGAAAATAAAACATTGAACAACATTATAGGGTCACACCTACACCTACATATATATATATATATATATATATATATATATATATATATATATATTAAATTCTTTAATAAAGGCTATACAAAGCATTCATACCATATTTGTTTACAAAAGGATATATATATATATATATATATATATATATATCTTGATAAAAAATCATAGGTATATATATATGAATATGCCACGTATTTAACAATCAATTATTAACCCAATATAATATAATATATTAAAGGATTACTACAGAAATTTATCTAATACAAAATTACATGTTTTAAGCAAAAATATACGGGATCATTAAAAACAATTATACCTAATATAATAGCAATAAAATAAAAGTACCTAATATAATATATATTCTAACATAGAAATACAACTTTCTAGTAAACATGCAAATTAAATTAGGGACTAAGATGAATTATAGTGAAAACACGATGACATGAAACTAAATAACTCAAAATATTATGCCTAAAATATAAATTTTGAAAATAATTAAACCAAAAACACAAAATACTAAATTAAAAATCAGTCCTGACTAGTGACTAATATGAAAATAAACGACAAATGTACAAGGGCACGAAAACAAATTACTCTAAAGTTTCAATGACTGAAAGTTAATTTACCCAGACATCTTAATATAAAACCTAAACTAACATTAAACCTAAGCTAAACTCCTCTGCCGCTCAACCTCTCTCGATTCTCTCCATATCTTCTTCTTCTTCGTCCATTCCTTTCTTCTTCGTCTCAGTTTGAGAATTTCCAGAGGCTCTGTGACTTCCACTGGCTACCAAAGCAACCCCAAAGCTCCATTCACTCTTACAAGCCTCAGCCTAGGGTCAAAACCACAAAAGACAGATTCTAAAGACCCAATAAATCCCATTTCGACTCTCCACTCTTACATGATCGAAAACAAGGCTCCTCCAACCAGACAAACTACGGCCGACCACCATATTTTGGTGACCACTCCACGCTCTGACTACTAACAGAGGCGACCTATAAGGCCATACCCTAAACTAGCCACCTTGATTCCATCTTTATAACACACTAAACAAAACCCTTAGCACTAAACAAACACCCTGAACAAACAAAAGCTTCGACCCCTCACTTCGGTAACATCCCGAGACCGACGGGACTCCGACACTGCTTCAACCTCGGTAAAGACTCCAACTCAAGGCTAATGTAATACTACTCCTATCTCCCTGTCTATTTTTGTTTTAAAACTTATCTTCACTAAACTAATCTCAACCCCCTCTTCTCGACAGAGCCCGAACAGAGAAAAAATGGAATCAACAAGAATCCACTTGAATTCAAACAACCCATGTAAACGTTTGAGTTATCCCCTTTTCTTTCTTTATTTGGTTTCAAATATAAATAAAATACAAATTAGAAAAATTGAAGCTTCTGAAAGAGAATTGAAGGAACCTTAAAACTTTTGTATTACCCAATTACACTGGGTTACATTGCTTATGAATACACAACAAAATTGGGAATGAAGACCCTTATTATTTGGTGAATTTCCCTCTAAAATTGGCCTATGTTCCCCGTTTTGTTTCGGTATTTCCTCCTACTCTTTGTTCTTCGAATGCTTCCTTTTTATTTTTCCACTTCTCACCGAATCCATTGTCTTCTTGTTGCATATTGATTTTTAGTGGGGATTAGGTTTGTATCAGGTGAGATTGGATGATGAGTTTAGGTGAAATGAAATCCCGAAATTTTCGGGATTAAATTACTTTCTTTTCTTTTGACTTTGGTTACTTCTGATGATATTTTAATTGCTTGTTTGCAGGTCTTGGTTGGTACAAGCTGAGTCAGCATGGGCGCTCGTGGGTGGCCAACATGTAGTGGTGGTGGGATGTGCACGAGCTGCTGCTCAGTTGGAGAGATCCACGTAGGAGGCATGGATGACTGTGGTAGAGTTGCTGCCACCGGATCGGGTCTTGTAACATGTAAAAAACAATTATATTAATAATAATAATATAATTATAATAACAATAATAATATTTAGGACGAAAAAACGAGTGTTAACAGGGAACTTGAAGGGTAAAACACCAATTTTGATGGAACATTCCAGCATTTTACTTGTGTATGAGTTTGCATGAACATTAATTAGTTTGCATGTTTTATTATGCATATTAGTTCATTTAAATGCACTTGAATAAATATGCATGGTAGTTCATTTCATTATACATGCTAATTTATTTAATTAAACTAGTTCATTTAAAGTTTGCATGGCATGTTTATCTCATAATTTTATTCAAGAATGAATGTTTACTACAAGTGTGTTTAGGTGCGATTTCAGTTGTGGATGAGTTTGGATCAATAAAGGCGGGCACATAAAAGGAGATGAACAGTCACATCAAATGCAAGCATGGAAAAAGGATCAAGAATATCAATCAGTTTGTCTTCCATTTATGTAAAGAAGTGTTTGGGTCTTGAAATCAATTAGATATTATTCCTTTATCTCTTAGTTTTTCGAAACCTTTTGTTACACATCAATCCAATATCGGGAGCCTGAGATATGATCAATTTATTAGAGATAGTGCAGGTCGAAATTTCATTACGGGACATGCATCTAAGTAAGGCTTGAACATTCAAAGAACTTTCCAAATTATTTTCATTTCATCTTTCATATTGTGAAGATAAATAATATCTTTAAGCAATAAACATGGTCATAATTAAAAAAAAATAAACAAGCCTCACGTATCAAATATCATGAGCCATAACGAGCATCAAAATAACATAAATATATATAAGAGCATCCAAATATGCAAATATCAATAATATCCAAATCTACAACCAAAATATGAAAAATCATCCAGGAACATGAAACCATCCAAATATCCAAACCAAAAATAAAAATATCGAACCATATCAAAAAAATACCAAACATAAGCAAATAACAAACAGAATATCAAAAAAATAATAAAGATATCAGGCATCCGACGGAGGAGGATCATGATCCAAAGATGAAGTGCGGAAATGAGCGAAGTCGTAAGAAAGAGCATTAATCTTATCCGTCACCATATTGAATCGAGCATGAAAGTCATGTTGGGAGTCCACATACATCGCCTCTAATGATAACTGTCAAGCAGCAATCTAAGAAACATGAGTCCCCAAGGCAGTGAAGTGAGACTCAATGGCAGCAAACACACATGTCCATAGTGTCCTTAAAACTTTGGAAGTAAGGAGGAATCACACTCGCATCCTCACCACCAACTCGTTGAGAATTGTCAGGGATGTGATTCATTGGATCATCGATATCATGCATCACATTGTCATCCTGAGGCTGAGCTGCGTCAGAGGAAGAACCAACTGTTTGCTTCCCTTTTCTTTGCCAACACTTGCCAATTTTCTTCCATCCCGATTTCCGAAGAGATTTGAGATCAATATAAGAGGATAAGAGTATAACATGATCTTAATCAACATTGATACCGACTTTGACAAAGAAATGGCTAATGAGATAACAATAAAGTAAAGTATCAAATTTCATAAGATTGAAAGGTATTTATGGTGTTAACAAGCCCACCAAATACAATTTGGGTAAAGTTAATTAGGTTGTTATTTTGGAAGCAATGAATTCACCAAATGTCAATGGTACGGAGGGAAGAGAACTTACCTCTCTATGGTTGAAACATCAAAAGATAATAAAGTGTAGGAACCGCTTATGAATATTTAAGGTATTGACACACTTACTTACCACATAAGTGGAATCAACATGATCTATTTCATTATCTATACCTTTAACTTCTAGACCTACGTCTCGAGATGTAGAATTGACATCGATGTGAATATATTGCCCCATGAGATAGGAGCGAATACTCTTGGTGTGGGTTCTAGCTTCATTTTGGAGACAAACCGCATTGGAGTAAAAAATGCGGACCAACCGGTGATAGATAACGGGTTTGATTTTGAAAGTGTTCTCAAGTTTCCATGATTTGAGAAGCAGAAGATATTTAAATTTAAGCTCGATTATGGCAGAATAGAGGGCTTACGCTCACTTCTAAGAGGGAAAGTCTCGAAGGTTATCGTATAACGCTCAAGAAGGTTGGTACAACCCAATTCATTAAGATTTAAAAATGGTAAGTTCATTTGGGTCTTGGTTTGGGTTAGGAATGGGATTTGGAGGTGGATTTTGAGGAAGAGGTGCTTAGAAAGGAGGATGAGCTCGGGAAGAACGAGGACGTTTAGACATTTTGGGATAAAAATCAAGATAGACAAACTTGCAAGACAAAACAATATATGTATCAATCAATCAATTCCAAAACTCAATATGAGTCCACAATTCAAGGTATTTAATAAAAAATTTATAAATGGGCTTAACGTTTTGTAATAAGTATATAAAAACAACTAGTATAAATATATTTATACGCAAATGTGTAAAATAAAGTGTATATAAATATTTTTATTGTATAGGTAAGGATATAAAAAAAAAATAAACACACACACACACATATATAAACTAAAAAGTATATATATATATAAACAAATAAACAAAAAAAATTGATTTTTTATTCGAAATAAGTATAAATTAAAAAAAATTGGAAAATTTGTAGTGAAAAACCATAGATTTGAGTTTGAAAATGATGTATAAACAATGCTCATTCACTAATTTAACTTAAACTAAAAAGAAATAAGCCTAAATTCGAAAGAAAAAGAAATTAGGGTTTTAAAAAAATACCTTGATTCGTTGAAATGAGATGGAATGAGTGATATTGGAATGATTTTAATGATGTTTGCATGAGACTAGCTTAAAAATCAACACAATTTCGATCCAAAAATGATGAAAGATGACTACAATTTTGAAAGAGGGGCTTGGGTTCTTCGACGGCAATAAGGATAGAGTTTGGGTTTTTTTTTTTAAAAAAAATGGGAATTTTTTAACTTTAAAATGCAAATTTGACCCCGAGTATCGGTACTTATTAAAGTGAGTATCGATACTCTTTCACTGAAAAAGTTGTTATCGATACAAGGTATCGATACTTCTAATGAATATAATAACAATATCGGCACTCGATGAATAATATCAATATTGAGGAAGAACAATATCAATACTATATGAAAATTATCGAGATTAGATGAATGAAATTGTCAAAAAATTAAGCATTTAAGTCATAAGAAGTCATTTTTATAATAAATTAAGTACATACAACATATATGACCATATGAGACATAAAATTATGACCAACATACAAGCATTCATTCATTTATATAAGGTTTAACATAAAAAAACACATATGAATGCTAAAGTTGCATGAATTTCTAATTAAAGTGTGCTAAAAGGTCAACAGTCATAATTCATACTATAGGGAATCAAAAATGGTATACACAACTCTAGATAGACAAGGAAAACAAGTTCAAACAAATAAATACACATTCAAGCATTCTTTGAACACTTCATCAATTTTAATGAAAATCCTAAACTCCCCCTAACTAATTGTATAATAGGATCAAAGAAGTCATTTATCATGTTTTTTCATAAAATCATAAAAGTGCATAAAATATTTAAACACAAAGTCAAGGTAGGTTTGTTAGACCTAATTTTCTCTTAAGTGCCCAAAATATTTCTTTATCCAAAGGTTTAGTAAAAATATCCGCTACTTGATGCAAATTGTCTGCATGCTCTAGAACTTTATCTTCCTTTGAGACATGATCTCTAATGAAATGATGCCTGATTTCAATATGATTAGTTCTAGAATGTTGGATGAGATTTTGGGTGAGACAAATAGCACTAGTATTGTCACACTTAATAGGATTATTACCAACATCAATTCCATAGTCTATGAGTTATTGTTTCATCTATAAAACTTGAGCATAACAACTACCTTAGAATTGGCAAGTATCGGAGGTGTTTTCCTATCTAATTTACAACCTCCATAATCTATATCCAAGATGCAAGATAAAGTTAGAGTCTCTAGGATACTAAAGTCCTATACTAGGAGTGTCTCTAAGGTATATAAAGATTCTCTTTATGGCTTGTAAATATTATTCCATAGGACATGATTGAAATATAGCACATAAGCAAACACTAAACATAATGTTCGATCTAATTACGGTAAAATAAAGAAATGATCTAATCATAGACCGATAAATTTTAACATCCACACACTCATCCTTTTCAAGATTTGTAGATGAGCTCATAGGAGTGGCTTGGGGTTTCACATCCTCCAATCCAAACTTCTTGAGTATATCTTTGATGTGCTTTGTTTGATTAATGAAGATTTCATTTTTCCTTCGCTTTATTTGGAGTCCCAAGAAGAATTAGAGCTCCACCATCATGCTCATCTCAAATTCACCTAGCATTAACTTATAAAACTCTTGGCATAAATTATCATTAGTAGATCCAAAAATAATATCATCAACATAAACTTGAACTACTAACAAATCTTTACCTTTACTTTTTTATAAATAATATAGTGTCAACATTCCCTTTTGAAAAACCTTTTTCAATAAGAAAATTTGACAATCTTTCATACCAAGCTCTAGGAGCTTATTTTAAACCATATAAAGCTTTTGTTAATTTAAAAACGTGATTTGGAAATTTTAAATCCTCAAAACAAAATGGTTGTTCCACATATATTTCTTCTTTTATAAAAACATTTAGAAAGCACTTTTAACATCAATTTGATATAAAGTGAAATCATGATAACATGCAAAAGCTAATAACATCCTGATAGCCTTTATCTTAGCTACGAGATCATAAGTCTCATCAAACTCTATTCCTTGTTCCTGAGTATACCCTTGAGCAACAAGTCTAGCCTTGTTCCTTAATATGTTACCACTTTCATATAATTTATTCCTAAATACCCATTTAGTACCTATAGTAGATTTGTCACTAGGTTTTTCAACTAATGTACATACTTAACTCCTCTCAAATTGATTTAACTCATCTTGCATAGCCAATATCCAAAATTCATCATTAGTGCTTATTTGATATTCTTAGGATATATACATGATATAAATACAACATAATTACAAATATTTCTAAGAGATGATCTAATAGTTACCCTTTTGGATGGATCACCCAAAATATCACCATCCTTGACATAATTGTATTCCCTTGGGTAGGAGACTTCCCTTTCCTTTAGAGTTAGTTCCTCAAGAGAATCTTGTGTTTGTTCTTGCATATCCTCTTTAGATAATGGTTTTCCAACTTCATTTGTTGTCATAATATCTACATCATCTTCAACATAAGAATTCTTTCTCTGAAGGGGATTATCATAAAAAACAACATGAATAGACTCTTCTACCACTCGAGTTCTTTTGTAAAGACTCGATAAGCTTTATAATTCACGGAATATCCAAGGAATATTCTTTCATCACTTCTTGCATCAAATTTGTCAAGATCGTATTCTCTATTGTTTAAAACAAAACATTTATTCCCAAAAGGATAAAAATAGATAATGTTAGGCTTTTTATTTATAAAAAGTTCATATGGAGTTTTCTTCAAAATAGGCCTAACCATTACTCTATTTATAATATAGCAAGCGGTGTTTGTGGCTTCCGCCCAAAAATATTTTGGCAAATTATTTTTCACAAAAC